TATCTACTCTAAGGTGATGTAGATATTTTTCTGTTTCATTATTAAAAATGTATTGTTTTACCTTTGCCATTTAAATCTACATCTGACATAGATTTGTGTGTACCATGTGAGAGGTAGGATTCAAAATGTTTTTTCTGTGTGAATATTCACATGATCCTGCAGAATTTATTAAAAGGATCGTCCTTTCCCCACTTCATTACAGGATCAACTTTGTCATAAAGCAGGTGATTGTGTGTTCATGGGTCTGTTTGGACTGTTTTCTGTTTGATGGATCTCTTTGTTTATTCTTCTGCTGATTTCATACTCAATTAATATAACCTTATAATATTTCTTAATTATTGGTAAGTCTTTCAGCTTTTTGTTTTCAAGATTCTTCAAATTTTCCATATAAATTTTATAACCATTTATTCAATTTCTATGGAAAAAAAACTGCTAAGGTTTTACTGAGATAGCATTGAATGTATAAATGAAATTTACATCTTCATAATGATTACTTTTTCAGCCCATGAACATGGCATATGCCTCCATTTACTTAGGTCTTCCTTAATTTCTCTAAATAATGTTTTCTACACATATTTCATTAGATTTATTAATGCATATTCAATTTTTAAAAATGTTCTTGTGGAGGGCCGGCCAAGTGGCTCAGTTGGTTAAGAGCTCACTCAAGAGCTTGAGCTCTGAGCAACAGCTGTTCAAGTCCCAGCCTGAGCTGAGCAGCCGCTGAGCTGCAGATGGCTCAGCTAAAAAAAAAAAAAAAAATGTTCTTCTGAGTTATTTTCTAGTTGCTGGTATAAAGTAATTCGTTGGATTTTTGTGTATTTGCTTTTTAATTTCAGTTTGTCTTTGAGCTGTTTTGGATTTTTGACGTACACAATCATGTACTCTGCAGATAATGACAGTTATTTTTTCTTCTTTTCCAATCCTTTGGGCTTTTATTTCTTTCCTTACTTATTTCACTGGCTAGGACAACCAGTACAATGATTAATAAATATGGTAATGGTGAATACTTTTGTTTCACTTCCATTTTAGGGAGTAAGTTAATATCTCAGCATTCAGTATGACATTTGCGGTAGGTTGCTTCTTTTATTGGAGATAACATTTATCACATTAAGAATGGTCCCTTCTACTCCTAGTTTGCTAAGGGGTTTATTTCTAATCTTAATAATTGATTGTTGACTTTTACCAATGTTCTTTCTTTATCTATTAACTGAATCATATACTTTTTCTCCCTTACTTCTATTAATAAGATGAATTACATTGTTAGCTTATCAGTTGCCAAACCAAGGTTGAATTCTTGTCATAAACATGATTTAATTGTGATGTCTTTTCCTTCTTATGTTGCTGAATTCAATTTGCTAATATATTGTTTAGGAGCTTTGTAATAAAACTCATGAGAGGGATTCATTTATAAGTTTTCCTTCTTGTCTTTATTATTGTTTGGTATTAAGTTTATGATGGTCTCAAAATAGATTAGCAAAATTTAACTCTGTTTTTAGCTTTGGAAAAGTTTGTTATGATTCGTATTATTATTATTGTTATTATTTTTAAGATTTTATTGGGGAATTGGGGGAGGGGAACAGCATTGGGGAATCGGGAAAGAGGAACAGACAAGTTGTCCTTTTGTTCTTCAGTCTAACTGTTGAGGACGTTGCTTCACTGGCCCATGTTGGTATTATCATTGCGCTCTTCCCAGGTGAGGCAGGTCGGTTGCCGGTCACTGGACTGCTGCTCACGGCGGCTCTTGGCAGCTCACGCCTGCTGCTGGCCACTCACGGTAGCTTATGGGAGCCCACTGCAGCTCCACTGCAGCTTACGTCGTGACTCATGGCAGCCCAGCTCCAGGTCGAGCTGTTGTTCACCATCTTAGCTATAGAGGGCGCAGCATCACTGGCCCTCATGTGGGATCCAAACCGGGACCCTGCTGCTCAGAGCTGGCATCCCAAGCCAGCTCTTAACCAACGTGCCACTCGGCCGACCTGGTATTATTTCTCTTTTTAATGGTGAAAGAATTCACCAGAAAGCTATAGTATCTGGGCCTGGAGTTTTACCCAGGCTAGATTACATTTATCTGGGTCAGGAAAGTTTTAAATTATCAATTAATTTTTCTCAAAAACAGTGTAGTCTTGACTTTTAGTTATACTTGTGACAGTTTTGGTAATATGTGCTTTTTAAGACATTTGTCTATTTCATTTAATTGTCAAGTTTATAAGTATAAAGTTATTTGTAACTTTTGAAATTATCTTTTAAGTGACTGTAGGAACTGTAGTGAAGGTCCCCTTTACATTTCTAATGTTAGTAATTTGTGTTTTATTTGTTTTTCTTTATTAGTTTTGCTAAGGACTTATATATTAATTATTTCAAAGAATGAATTTTTTACTTTATTGATTTTTTTATTGTAAGTTTGTTTATCATTTCATTATTTCCTGCTCTTTTCCTTATTATTTCATTCCTACGACTTTTTTTGGATTTGATTTGTGGTTCTTCTCCAGCTTCTTGAGATGGAAGTTTAGCTAATTAATTTTTAGCCTTTCTTCTATTCTAATATATGCATTTAAGTCATGAAAGAAGGAAATAAATTTCCCCTAAACACTGATAATGTTTTATTTTTATCATCATTTGGTCAATATGTACTAATTTCAATTTTGATTTGATTCCAGTACATTATCTAGCAGTGTATGCTAATTTCAAAGGAATTGGGTACTTCCCAATTATATATTTTTAAAATTGATTTCTGGTAAATTACATAGTAATCAGAGAATATATACTAAATGATTTCCAATCTTTGGATTTTTTGAGCTTACATTTACGATGCAGAATATGGTCAATTTTGACAAATGTTTTATGAAGCTACAACATGTTTCTTTTGGTTAGTATTTGCATGGTATATTTTCGCCCATTCTTTCTTCCTTGTGTGCCTATGTTCTTATATAATGAGTGTTTTTTTTCTCCATAACCTTATTGAGACATAATTAGTATAATATTGTGTAAGTTTAGGCGTACAATATGTTGTTCTGATACATTTATATATTGCAAAATGATTAAGGTGTGTTTCTTGTAAGCAATATGTAGGTTTTAATAAAAAACAGTTGAAATGCATGCCTTTTAAAAATATCCAGTCTATTTGCATCTAAAGTAATGATATACGTAGTAAAGTTCATATTTACCATCTTTCCAGTTATTTTCTAAATGACCTACCTGTTTTATGTTTTAAGTAACTTCCTGCTTCTGTCATATCACAGGCCCCCTCTAGTGTTCTTTATTGACAGAGACTCACATTGTAAATTGGCAAAAGAGAAATTATTTATAGTGTGAGGAGTGAGGCGTGTAGCACATCCAGACAAATCATCTTTAAGGAAGACGAAAACTCCATCTCAAAACATTTGGAGGCTTCAACTGATGTGTTGTAAACTGATTGCTGCTCAGTACATGAGTGACCAGTTTGTCCACTTAGGGGTGTGGAGTAAGTCTGGGAAGATTGCGTATGGCAGTTTACTGTTATTTATTGTTTTAAGGCATTGTTCCAGATGCTTCATGGACATTGCCTCTACTCTTTGAAAAACCCCCACAGATGCATAATATTAACCACATTTTAGAGTTGGTGAGACTGAGGCTTAGAAAAGTTAAGTAACTTGTTCAAGATAGCAGATGATGGTGGAGCCAGAACAAAACTTAGCCTGTCTTCCTCCAGAGCAGATATTCTTGCAAGAACCACACTTTAGATGACTTTTAAATTAGTGTGGTTCTCTTATAGGTCCCGCCATGTGGATGCCTCCAGGGCAGAATCAAAGCTGGGTTTCTGAATTTATCCTGCTTGGCTTCTCCAATGACCCCACATTCAACAGAACCCTCTTTGTTGCCTTCCTTCTCCTCTACCTGAGCTCAGTGCTGGGCAACGGGCTCATCGTCACCCTGATCTGCCTGGATACGCATCTTCACACTCCCATGTACTTCTTCCTTTGTATCCTCTCCCTGCTGGACATGGGCTACGTCACCACCACCATGCCGCAGATGTTGCTGCATCTTCTTGCACATTCTCACACCATCTCCTTTGCTGGCTGTTGGATACAGATGTATGTGTTCAGTGCTCTGGGCTTGTCTGAGTCTATCATCTTTGTAGTCATGGCTTATGACCGATACGTAGCAATCTGCTACCCACTGCATTATACTGTCATCCTCAACTGGAGTCTGTGCACACGGCTGGCAGGTGGGACCTGGGCCTGTGGTTTCTTCTTTTCTCTAATTCATACTTTCCTCACCATGAGGCTGCCATACTGTGGGCCCAACGTGGTCAACCACTACTTCTGTGAAGGCCCCTCAGTACGAAGCTTGGCTTGCGTGGATACCCACCTCACTGAGATGGTGGACCTTGTCATCAGTGTGTTCATGGTTGTTGCCCCACTTTCCCTCATTTTGGCCTCCTACATCCGTATTTCCCAGGCTATTCTCAAGATCAAGTCCATGCAGGGCCGCTGCAAGGCTTTCTCTACCTGTGCTTCCCACCTGACTGTGGTCACACTCTTCTATGCTCCAGGCACTTATATCTACATGAGGCCCAACTCCAGCTATTCTCATGAGCAAGACAAGCAGGTCTCACTCTTTTACAATGTCTTCACTGCTCTACTCAACCCTGTGGTCTACAGTCTGAGGAACAAGGACATCAAATGGGCTTTTCTCAAAATCATGGGGCAGAGTCGGCTGGCCTGTTGAACTGGGAGCCAGGAGAACTGGGGTAGAATGTTCAATGCTGAGGAAAGAGACAACATCTATAATGTATGCAACCAACATAGTACTTGATCAGTGCAATAAATGTAGTATGTGAATCCAACACAGCTACCTTGGTCATCTTGCTACATTGTGGGGCAGTGACAAACAACTCTTTAATCTCAGTGACTTACAACAGCAAAAGTTCATTTGTTGCTCATGTTCCATGGCGGTTGTAGGTAGATTGTGGCTTTCTGCCATTGGATTCTTGGATCCAACCTGAATAAGGAGGCCCTATATGGAACATGCCATTTTCATGACACAGGCAACAACGGCCAAAATACATGATTACTTTACAGCTCCTGCATAGAAGTGACACATATCTCTTTGCTCACATTATATTGGCCAAAGCAAGTTCCATGGTCAAACCTGATAGCAAAAGTGAAGGAAGTGTATTTTTCCCACAGAAATGTAGTGCAAATCACATGCCATTGGGTACTGAGGTATAATCCCTCTACCTTGAGAACAGCAAATAATGAAGGTGATAATATAATCTATCATAATGGAATCAATAGAATACATGTAACCAACATTTAACATGGTAAACATAAGTCACATTGTACATGCACATACTAGAGGACCAAGGAGATGTAGGAGATCAGAGTGGTAAATGTAAACAATAAGTATCTGTAGACAACATTGCAAGTTAAGCCAATGGCATATGGAACCAATGAAGCCCATGACCTTGACTGGTGCATGGAATTAATGTGGTTCACAGGCCTAGCATGGTATACTCTGCATTGTGTTGTGAAAGGACACAGAACCTAACATTAAGTTGTCTGGTTCTAGTCTCAAGCTTGCTAAGCACTTTGTGACTTTGGACAATTTTATTTTCTTTCTTGCATCTTACTTTACTCATGTCTAAAATGCACTCCATGAAATTAATAGTGCCTAGGACCTCTGTGTTGCTAAAATACTACCCACCCAGTAGGTGGAGTGCATGAAACTCAAATGAATGAATGTGACTCTTCTGTGAACCATAAGATGAAAGAAGAAACCAAGAAGAATCAGGGTTGCTGCATATGTGCAGCCCATCTGTAAACCATATGGGCAGCACACATAGCAGTGACTCATTCTCCTAAGGAATCTAAATGACATATGGGGCTCTCTAAGAATACTGGCACAGGGCCTCAGAGTTAGCACATATATCCAGTGTTTCTTGAGCATCCAGGATGATCCAGCCAATATAAGGCCCTGTGGAAACCAAGAGAGCTATGAGGAGTCATGAAATCATAATCCACAACCCAAGAAGATTCTACAATGATCTGTTGGCACTGATGACCTTATAGGAGGGAATTTCTCTCAGTGGGTACCAGACACAGGGGACCAGGTGACACCTCACCCCACTTCCATCCATCATTGTGTCCCTCAGCACTCTGTAAGCTCTCCAGGGTTTGGTGTCATGGAGACGGAGAGAGAGAACACCAAGAAGATTAATATTATTTTTCCCACCAGTGGAATGATAGCTCAACTAGGAATTAAGTTTAATTATTGAAAAATAAAGTTGCAGAATTCTGAAGAAACAGGGTTCTGTGATGAGAATAATGGAGGAGGGACACCTACTTGCCAAAAACTGACAGTTAAAGCCTTGTGAGGGATTAAGATTCAGATGCCTTAGAATGAGAAAGAGTCACCTACGGAAATAAACAGGAGAAGGACATTTCAGGCAAGGGGACATCAGACACAAAGGCCCCAAGTCAAGAAAGGACTTTGTGTTGTCCATGGAGCTGAAAGAAGGGTCATGCGGTCATAACAAAGTGAGCAGGAGAGGTGGAGATAGTATTAAGAAGGAGGCAAAGTATAGTCCTAAAAAGCGCTATAAGAAGTGTTTACACTAAGTGCACTGAGAAAGCTTGGTCTCTTATTAGGGGAGTGGTGTGGTTTAAGGATAACAAACTCCATGGTGGATGTGACTAAAGGTAACTGGAAAGGAGGTGGGAGAAAAGGTCATTGGGGATGTCAGGGACTCACAAGGCAGGAGTGAAAATAGAGAATCACCCTTTTAGAGAGCTGCAGGAGGTGTGGTGTGTCCAGGGAGAAATCCAGTTTAAGCACATGGGGAGGGGCCATTGCTGATTTTGGTACTGAAGTAAGGATGACAAAGAGAAGGAGAGCTGGGAACTTTCTGCTTGTAATATACATATATTTATTTGAGTGTAATCATTCTCTTCTTATTTCTTATCACCATTTAAAAATTATTTAATACACATATTATTGGAAGTTAATATTATAATATTTTTAGGTAACAAAATTTTCAGTGAGACTGTGGCTGAACACTAGCAGTAATTAATATAGTCTGTGCTGTTCCTCATTTGTAAAAGGAGAGATGCACCTGTTGGGTAGAAATACAGAGTTGTTTGTTTCTTGTAAGGATGTTTGAGTGTTTGTAGAAGGATGTACATGGAAGCTGAGTAGCCCAAAGTGTGGACTGTACCCATTATTCATTTATTACCTCTCACTTCCACATGTAGCTTTCAATATATGCTCTGCAATAAACAACACAATTCCCTTACATATTTCTCCTTTAAAGTGAGCGTGATATTAAAAATCACAGGCACTGGAGAGACGCTGCAGGAGAATGCACTTCTGCAACATCCAACCTGGGCCACAGGCGGCCCAGATGCACAATGACCTTGCAACCTCAGTCTGGCTGCCCTTTCATCATGAGAATCAGAGCTCACACTGCCAGCCACCTGCCTGACTTCCTCAGCAAGCCTGGGAGGGACCTGCATGCGGCCCCTGGTGGACTCCTTCAGCCCCCACAAGTATGCATGCAACACCTGTAGTCTTCAGGGTCACAGAACGAGAAGTTGTTCCATCTGCAAATTCACACAGTCTGAAGGCTTGCTGTCCCACTGGCACCAGCATCTAATGGTATGAGTACGTTCACACCACTGTTTGCCAGTTACCGGCTCCCTTACCTGCACTCCGGAAGGTGGTCAATGGTTTTACAACTGCAGACCAACTATGGCTCTTCTGTGAAGTCTTCTGCAATTCAGTGTGTGGATCACACCTTCTCCAGTGAGTCTGAAGTCCTCCTGGGTCTGACCTAACTTGGCTATCTCTTGGCCTTGGGTACCACATAGAGTTTCCTTATGTTGTCTAGTTACTCTCTTATCATAGTTAATACATCTTTATATTAAACTTCCCATGATTGACTCATTGAGTAGTTTGTGTCTCCTTATTGGACCCAGAGAGGTACAGTTTCTCTAACTTTTCAAAGTAAGTATCATTATCTGCATTTTATGGAAGAGAAAACCTGAAGCTCAGAAAACTAATGCTCAGAGTGGTTGGGACCGTTTCCAAAGCCCCGCAGTTAGTAAATGAAGGAGCTGGGATTTCAACACTGTTCTGGCTGTTCCCCCTCTGGTCACTACCACCCAAATGTTCAACCCTGGGCTTCCATCCATCTCATATGTTCCTTTTCATACTGAGCTTCATCTCCTCTTTTTGGCAGTTCCTCCCTGAAATCCTGTTTGTTAAAAAAAGGCACATCCTAAATCTCTTAATTGAATGTTCCCTCCACCTCTTTACCAAAATCCAAATTTTTCCCAGGGAAACACTCTTGACTTAGCTTTTTCATAATTACCTGAAACATTTCCCACTCTGAAATCTAAATTTCTTGCAGCAACTTCTAGCAACTGCCCCAGTTCTCACTAGCCCAGAGTCCCACCATATTGTTCTGTGGCCCGATCAAATACCTTCGTCTTCCCATCTTTTCCCATTGTATTTTCCCATCCCATTATCTGGATACGTGATCAACTCGTATAGTATCTCTACTATCCTTACTTTTGCCCCTGTGGT